TGCCCAGAGCTGAAAACGCAGCAAACATGGCTAATGAGACTTATGGGTATGGCTGAAGAATAGAGTGGCTCTGCAGCAAAAAGAAGAGAATAAACCTACATTTGGAGGGAGGAAGATGTAATATTTGAATGTCGAGTGGGAACCAAACTCTGTAGGCTGAGCCTGGATCAAGATTCTGGATATTTAAATGGGTGTCCTTGTAGGAACAGAACCTTTTTTCTTTTTTTTTTCCTGTTGTTGGGTTGGATTTTGGTGGTTTGCTTTTTTTGCTTGGGTTGGGTTTTTTTTAGCTAGAAAGGATGAACAGAAGGTATKTTTTGAGTGGAATTCAAAGTATATGGTTTAATTTTTGCTAGTATGAGTGTAACTACTTTGGGTTTATTGCTGCAAAGATGTGTAGAGTGGTGAGACTCCAGTACAGATGAGTGACATGTCAGTCATCTGTGGAAGTGCAGCCCCAGAGCTTTGAAGAGTTAAAAATAAGTCAGGCTGTAAGAGTGAATTAATTTKGTTTGACTCAAATATGGAAACTGTGATAATGTTGTGTTTGGATTTTGCTGCAGAAAGAAGCAGAAATGGATAGTAAAAGTGAAGGAAAGAAAGGAGTATTGCCACCCTAAAATAAATTTGATACAGAAGTCAGCAGAAATCCACAGCTTCCTCCTAGAGTTACCATTTAGCTTGAATTCAAGGAGGGAATGCCTTGCAGAAGTGTGCACACACCAGGCTTTAGTACTGGGACATAATCTAATATAAAACATGCATTCACAGGCATTAGCTTATGACAGTGCTAACTGAAACTTCAGAGCTTGTACTTGAGAAGGATGGAGATTGAAGCCCAATTTGGATATTTTGAGGCATGCTTTATCACAAAGATAAGGTATTTAAATACACCACTTTGACAGGAAATCATGCTGGTGTTTTAATCTCCTGACGTGGCAATACTAGGTAGCACCATGCAAAGCCTACTTGATGACAAAGTGTGGGAGTCTGCAAATGAAATTTCATTGACCTATGAAGGTCTAAGAACTTAAAATCTCAATTTATAAATCCTGTAGGAATTACAACAATTAGTTTAAATTAAGTATTTCAGCTAAAGATGTAGTAGTCCCTGTGGACTAAGTGTAAATTATTATCACTTTAGAGAGAAGTGAAACTGTGGTTTTGTGTTGTACAGTTTGTCTGTCAGTAGGAAGCAAAGAACTACCACATTCTGTTTCTTTCCCATYATTTTAACAATGCACCTGTTTCCTTTCTGCTATTTGAGTTGCACATGACCTTTAAAGTTCCCAAAATATCAAGCCCAAGCTCTGTAATTTCAGTATTTGCTGGGTTTGAGCAGCTGGTGWTATTGACTGGGGCCTTAGACCAGGCAGGTAACTGCTTTTGAACACTGGGTTTAAGATGCTGGTTCTACTGGTACCTTTTAATGCATCAGGTTTTGAGGCAGACACTGTATAAATCACTAGCCTGATGAAGAGAAAAAGGAAAATCCTTAGGATTTTACCTCAAAATAAGCATAAAGTAAAACAAAATCTCTGTTTCTGAAAAAGGCTGCCTAAGGAAACAAAGCAGTTATGATTAAACATAGGTAATTCACTTTCTGTTCAGTGTATCTTGAACYCCCAGGTCAAAATATACTTCAAATTTGCTTGAAAATCAGTAGCAGAGATGTAGAAACATCAGTAGAAGCACCTTTGCAATGGAAAAAGGAGGGAGAATTCAGCTGTTATGCTAGAGTGTTTATCAGCTGGGTTTTTTTCCTGTGTTCTCTCTGAAAGTATAAACCATTTTTAATTTTTCTCTTAAAAAGAGTAATAGCCAAAAGCAAAAGTCTAAAGGAACAAAGTAAATTAATGAGAGTATTCACTGATATCTTCCTGAATGCTCGCTCAGCCTTCACAAGTTTGCAATCCAATGACTTCCTGTGCAAGGAGTAATTTCTGTGCATTAATAGCTGTCTATGGATTTCTCTTTCATGAATCCGCCTCCATGGGCACATCTGCAGGAAGGCAAGCTCCATTAGTTCTACCATTCTCAGAAGAGTCAATCTTTAATTTTCTGTCATCATTGTTGCTATGTCAAAGGTTGATTCTAGATAGTATAATAAAACGTTTTTTACTTTAGAAAAGCTGCTATCCTTATCTCCACCCACTGTGAATCTTCCCTTTTAAGGGTGTCATTGGTATTGGCAGCTCTTTCCTCCTAACAGTAATGAACTTGGCAGCTCTTCAGGGAGTGTTCATTTATTCAAGTGGCTTTGATTTGTATAAATATTCAGTGGTCCCTGACAGGTGGGTGGGCCAAATGGTTAATGATGTTATCTGGGTGTTTGATAACAAGATTTTACAAAGAAATATTTAGTCAGAGGCTTATTGCTGAAGGGTGTTGGAGACTACAGCAAACATACTGAGTGYATCAAAACCAGAAACAGAAAACAGCAAGCTCAGGGCTTATTCTTTGCCAATGAATAATGGTTATGCGGTACTTCCTTCCCACTGAGAGCAGTGCAGGTCACTGTGCCATTTAGGGCAAATACTGTGGCCTGTCTGCAGAGCCTCAGGACATATCCTGTGCTTTCTGGCAGTAGCATCACTAATTGGGACAAGTTAACAGTGACCTGGGGATGCTGAGTTGCTACAAGTCACTGCAAAGTTGGCATGGGTGCTTACAACCACTCAGCCTCTTGGTTCTAAAACAGGCAGAATGGAAGTGGTGCAAAGTGGTTCAAAGACGTGAAAATAAACATTTGATGACTTGGTACTGCTGCTTACTTCTCATGTGATGTCTTTTGCAGGTTCTTTGTTTCCCTTTTCTGCATGAAGGTGTTTCCATTTCCTTGGGCCAATTCAGCCACAGGTTCTTGCAATCCTCTCTGGTTCTTAGGTATTTCTGACCTTAAAAGCTTAATGTCGTGTGTAATATTGTCAGCTGCTGAGATTGTAGCAGCAGAACCTCAGGCAGGACAATGGACAACAAACCTGCTGCATGGTTGTTTGTTTTTTTATTGTCTCTGATCCAGCTGATAATTTAATTTATCTGAGAGCTGGACTGTTGCTGTTCGAGCAGGTATATATGTGTTCAGTACTAATGACTTAGAAGTRCAGAGATCACAGTTTACAGAAGGAAATTTTGAGGAAAATAACAAGCTTTTTATTTCAAATTTAACTGCTAGTTTCTGGAGGGGAAAAAAATAATAGGTCATCTGTATAAATTTCCAGTGTCTCTATTGCTATTTGACTTACTTTGGGAMTTATTTTATGTTCATGCACACTGTGATTCTTGTCTAGGCCATTGTCTGCAGAGCTTCTTACACTTCTTAAACCAGAGGTCAAGTGCTGTCAKCCTGCACCCCATGCAACCTGACAGACCTCAATGCAGACACCAGACCTGGAAGAAGAACGATGGGTGGGCTAATGTCACAAAGCAATTCAAAACAAATCGCACTACAGGCTTCTTGAGAGACAACCTTTTCTTTCTCTCCCTTTTTTTTTCCAGGGGTAGTCGCATGGAGAAGGGAAGCAGGGCTTGGTTCTTTGTCACTTATGCGATATACAAATTCCTTCTCTGAATTGCCCCACTCAAGTTACAGTGACAATTTACAGAAAGCAGCAAAATGCAATACAACATATGTGGTCCTTAGCCCTTCTTGGAGCACAGGYTCTCTGCTCTCTCATAATTTATAATTTAATAGATTATAATGTGACCCTGAAGGATTTAAATTGCTTTCAGTTATGAGGGGTAAATCAAAATATTTCTGAGAATGCTCTATCACTATGTTTGTTGATTAGAAAAATGTGTGGATCTCTGAGCTTTTCCTTGCTTTTAGCTTGAGAATTAGCTCTAGACAAAAAGAAATAATGGTCTTTGTAGTTAAGCTGCAGCTTGGGACTCTGGAAACAGTTTTTAATTCACAGCCTTGTATCACATTATTTAGGTCATATAAATTAYGTAGAGCACGTGGCATCAGTGAAGTGAGACAAAGCTTCCTTGCTTTGCAGGCTCAACATGCCAGTTTGGGTGCATAAGCTACAACCTCTTTGTAAAACCAACAATTAATCAAAATCTGAGTGTGATTCCTTTTATTATCGGTGGTGAAAGCTTTATCAGCAGTCTTTGTTAGATTAGGGACAGTRTTACTTAGTATCTGCATGTCTCAGAGCTGATGAATTTTATGTATTCTTGGAGATTATGTATATCCTGTATTCAAGGAYAGTCAACTGTCAAGTGAAGTTGTCAGTGTGAAACATTTAGTTTACGTGCTATGAATAATGTTTTGGATACAACTGTCATTAATTTTCTTGTCATGGCAAGGTACAGTCAGATGTGGATACTGTTATGACATCTGATATCTTATCTTGGTGTAATCTGCACACTTCAGCTGTGACTTCTAAATCCTTCCCAGGTGGATTGAACAGAATCGGGCATGATGCTAATCTGATCCGTTCATTCACAATTGTAGTCCTGATATGGGACATGTTGGCCAGCCTGAGTAGTCTCAGTGTCCTATAACGCACCAGATGCATTCCTCCCCAGTCCAGGGGGGTCCCCTGCAAGGGATCTGTATCATTTACATATCCATGTATATTTGCTGCTCTGGGACTTCTGCCATAGGAATATCCCATCTGGAAACATTTAATTTTAATCCTAATGAACATGTCATATGAACATGACACTCTTAATAAYTGTCTAGGCCTTCTCTAGTTATATCCTGCCCTCCAATCTCTTCCACAACTGACTCTATTATCAATCATGTGCATGTGCAGCTTTCTCTTATTGCTGTAGATGCCCATTTCTTAGAAGCAATATGCTGACTTTTGGCTTTTTTGCCCCTGCAGCCCTTTGGTCTCCAGGCACAAAATACCTTCTGCTAAAAGGGAAACGACAGAATGGGAAGTTGTTGTAATTTGGGATTTCCACCAGCCAGAGGTGGAAATGCCAGTCACATGAACGTGCCATAAAAGGAGGTTGTGGATTCTCATGTTATTGTTTCTTTGCAGGGTATCATCCAAGCCTACAAGAGTGGCATAACCCTCCAGGGAAACACCACAAGCCTGGGCAGGTGGGAYTACAGTGGGTCTTTCTTCTTCTCCATCTCTGCAATAACAACCATTGGTAAGAGTCCCCTGTTTGCAGGGCCACATCACAGGTGGGAAAAGAGTGGGAATGAGGACCTACACTCAGGTGCTGCTCCAGCACTGTGGGGTTCCCTGGAACTGGCAGGAGGCAAATAGGGAAGCATCCATAAACCTAGCCCTAGGAATGCTTTGTCAGCACATTAATGTTCTCTAACTGATTAGACACTGGGATAGTTAGCTAAGGACATATTCCTAGTAAAGTTACACAGCTTTTGGGGCCAGAACTTCATGGTGCTGCACTGCCTGGAAATTCCTAAGCTTTGTGTGCTCTGAGAGGTCTGAGGTGAATTGTGCATTGAAATGAGCTTTTSTGAGCACAGGGAGAGGAATGATTTTGGAAAATTCTTAATACTGGCTATTGCATCTTCAGAGACTATATTTATGAATTAATCCTGCTTATTACTACGTGTATTAGACCCTGCTTGTTCAAATGAAAGTTAAGTAGCTGGATAAGCATCACAATTCAGTTGACTTAGATTTCAGCAAATGGGTAATGCAGTGCCACRAAGGAATGGTGGAAATAAGTGGGGGGCAAGAGAATGGAAACAATAAGGTGTGCTAGGTACAGTGTTRCTTAAAGCAGATGCAGTTAATTATTCTCAGTTCACATCCCCTGTCCCCAAAACCTTAATMACATGCCTTGATGCCTTTTTGTTATGGTGTGACCCAGTATTAAAGAAAAACATGGAGTGGAGAGTATGTGGAGAGATGGTTGTTGAGTATCAAAAATCCCTCATGGGTTTCCTGATTTGTCAGCTCTCTTCAGTTTTAAGTATATCTTTAAATCAAGAATTTTCTTTTTGTACTCAAATGGAACCTTCTTTAGATTTCTGATTGTTATTGAAGATACAATGTCTCCAAAACACTAAAGCCCCAGGCATAAGCTCAAACAAAGAGAAGGTTTGTGGGTTTTTTGGGGGTTGGAGTGTGGTGGTGGTGTTGGTGGTGGTGTGTTATCTTTCTGTGACTCAGTACGTCCTTCTGCCTGCTCTTTTGTACATGCATAGCTCTGGTTGGGAACACTGAGTGTTCAGTGAGTGCACTGCCAGGCACGGGTTGTACCAGACGATGGCAGTGAAGGTCCATCAAACAGGGCTACACAGGCTGTAGCTTTCCAGCAGAGCCTGAGCTTTGGTACTGCTCAGAGCTGCTTTGCTTGCCTCAGTAGTGAATCCTGATKAGTTTCTAAGCCGTCAGAGTGACTRTTTCACCACAGCTAATTTAAGCTAATGATATTCAAGAAGAATCAAATTTGTCATGTTAAAATATAAGGGCATCTTGTGATGTTGGCAAAGATCTAGACCGAGCATTTCTGGCTGCTAAACTGCTCTTCTCTCCCCCACTCACCTCTTTTTTTTAAGTAAACCCCTATCCCTGATGGCCGCAGGGGAGAAGGATAGGACAGGGCATCTCACAACTGAGTTGATAGCAGAGGCAATTGAAAATTGAAAAGAACCAAATATTACAGCTCTTTCTCTCCTAATTTTAAAGCTGTTGYTATTACTCTAGGGACTTGATCATAATTTTTCAATTGAGGATTTAAGAATGCCGTGAAAGTTGCTTCTGTGTATGGAACTTCAGAGAACTGGACACTTCATTCTACTTTTTTAAGTTGAATTGTTAGTTGCATACAGATTAGTATCTTAACACTCTGTTGATAGCACTATGTTGTAGAAAACTACAAATTGTTTCACAGCCTCACCTTGAGTCTGTTATCATAATCTRTACAAATACTTGAGATAGTGAGGGGTTCAGCCACACTGAGGATGCCAAAGTGTGACTGGGAAGGATAACTGATGATGTCAAGTAAAGAGACAAGCTCCTTTCCAAAGTACTCARTGAAGTTCAAAGGGGTGAGTCACAATAGAAAACTTTGTGTATGGGGCTTGGCAGTGAGATAAATGACAATTGAGAAGGCTTCTTGAGGATTTKTAGAGGTTTTAGTGTTCTTGCATGGCAAAGAAGGGTTTATCTCACACTGTGATTATGAAACCAATGAAAGCAGGTCCAGCTGCACAAGATTAGCCTACAGGAGTTAAAACCCAAGGCATTCCGACAAATGAGTTCAGGAAGGGCAGAGTTAAGATGATACAGGAGAAGAGAGATTCTCAGGAATTTAGGGGTACTGTATAAAGATTTTGAAGAATCTGGATGGCCTCTATTCCATGTGTTCCAGCTGCTGCAACTCCTTTGGCTTGTTTGTCTCTTCCACGTTTTTTCTTTGCAATTAATGCTATTCATGCATGTATTTGTGGCTTTTTTCCTTGGTCTTTTCAAACGGCACTGCCAAAGTCACTATCGCTTTTGCCTTCATCACATTCCTTTCAGTTGTTCTTTCTGTTCTGCCACCTTCTGTATTCCACTTGAGGTGCTTTAAGCCACTCAGAACGAAAAAGGTGCATTTCTTAAGTCCTTACCAGAACCCTTTCTCACTGGGATACAGGAAGGCATGTTAACTTTTCCCCAATAAAACCAGCTGAGGGGCATCAGCTTCTTTCCCCACTGACAAGGTTGAAATCCCCATGTCTCCTGTTGCAGCATCTTGTGCTGTATCCTTCTTCCATTTAAATGAGAGCCTCATCTACTTTCACTGTGATTAAAAACAGCACGTGGACTTTGCTTAAAAACAAAGCAAGTTCTAACCTGGAGACTGGATGTCGTTGTTACCTCAGTCACAAAGGCTTAAAGAACAGATAGGTATGAACTAAAATGTCTTGTTTGCAGAAGTGCCCCAAAATCTATGTAGTTTTTGGCCAATCTCATAATTTGAATGGAACTGCATTTATAACTTTTGGGATGGGCAGTCCTGAATGCTGATTTCTTCTCCTTGCTGTTACGCTTCTGTGCTTTCTTCATTGCTGTCTTTGTCATATCATATTATGCCAGATTTTATATGTTAWCTCATTTTCTGTAGATTTTTCCATAAGAGCCCTTTCTCCAATGCCTTGAAGGGTTCTTCATCTTCAGAGTTCTTGTAGGGCTGAATACTAAACATCATTAAAGGAAGAGAAGCTAGCTTGCTGCTGGMGTTATCTCTCAGACTTCTTTATCCCTTGCCGACACAAAGTCTCTCCTTTCTGTGTTTACTCTCCTCCTACTTAGTTTGGACTAACGGGGCAGAGGTCAAAGCAAGTTCAGAGAGGGGYACAAGATGAAAGTTCCTGAAGTCAAACGACCACAGGGTGGTGTAATTTCAGAGAAGGTGCTAGGGAAAGTCAGTGATGAGACWGATTTGTCTGTCGAAGCCTAAGAGTAGAAAGAGCATTGTCCTCTCTAGCCTGAGCATCCCACATTATATTGGGTGGGTGGATGCCATTGCCTAGTTACCATTTTCTGGTGACAAAGCTACCAGAATTCAGTTGTGTGAATTTCAGGGGCCCTCTTTTATATATAAAATGGGGCAAGTAAACAATCTCACCACGAAGAAGGGAATTAGCTTCTTCCTGTTCTTTCATCCTTTGGTTAGCACAGTACATAGCTCCTAAAAGCAATACCCCAAAGGATAAGGAGATAACAAGGAGCCATGGATCAGGCTATTCAGTGAGTGATGGTATTAACCACACTGTTACAGGCATTTAGTAGTTGTCCCAGAAGATTCCAGTGTGGAGAACAAAACAGTAGCAAGTTCAGAACTGAGAAATCCTTGTGGTGTGAAGCTTTGGGCCAGCAAGAGTTTTGTGAAGGCTGACCCTCTGTAGTGCTGCCCACTGTCTGGTGGGGCTCCTGAAAAAAAGTTTCTTCCTATTACTGACTGGCAATTAACTGGGAAATTCAGTTAAACCAAYTTGATGTCTCAATCCAGTTAAAAAATGGAATAACAGCTTGGGGCCATTTTCATATTTGAGTCTTCTGTGAGCCTCAGGAACCTTTTGTGTMGGGGAACCTTTTCTGCTGAAGAGCCCCAACTGTTGATGTGTTGGTCTTTCCCCTGCCCTGTGACAGCTGACAGAGCTGCTCTACAGGCTTGGCCAAGTAGGATGTGGCACAGTGGTCCATGGGAGGTCACTGGTGGATTGGGGATAGCCCCTCACAGTAGCATCCTCTGAGCTGTCTCCCAAGCACTGGAAATTTGGTCTGCTTTCCTGACTGYGTGCTGTCTTGCCCAGTTGAGACTAAGCCCACTATACAGCTTCCAGTGTATGCACAGCACAAACAAGTGACTGCAGTGCTCATCTGAAGYGTTTTTATCATTCACTGAAGGAGTGTGCGACCAAATTCCACTGACACCTGGAACTTCACAGGGCTAGAACTGTTAATAACCCTGCCCTGGTTCAACTTGCCTGAATCCCAGTAAGCTTCCCCATATTAAGACACAGTTCCTGAGATTCTGACACCACGAGCTTTTAAAATCAATTCTTTGGTTTGTTCTAATCTTAAAACTGAGAAGCCAGTGCAAGCACTGTGGCTACATGAGGCTTGTGTCCTGTTTCTGCCTCCACATTTGGGGGCCTGTAACAACCACTCTGGATGGATGAATTGGAAATAACTGTGACTTCCCATGTCAGGTGACCTGAGCTTTATCCAACTGGTAAGTGCTCTTGAACTTAGGGCAGACTTGTGGGTATAATGTGAAATCTCACAAGAAACTTGAGAAGCCTAGCATGTTAATATGTTTTATGTAGTTATGAAGACATTCTAAGTATGAGGGAGGGTAGGAACCCCTGACTTGCTGATATTCTGTTAATGTAGGTGGTACTAAATGACCTCTGAAAATCCTAATGCTTAGAAGATCATAGGATAATTCAGGCTTCCTGGTTCCTCAGGAKGTCTCTGGTGCAACTGTCTGCTTAAGGCAGTTGGCTGTGAGCTCAGAGCAGGATATTRAGGGCTTTGACAGGGACACCTTCCAGCCAACCTGGGGCCTTACTCACATTTTTATGAACCAAACATTACCATAAGACTCGGTGAGTGATCAATAGGTTTGTTTGTGGGTTTTTCCACTTTGAATTGCACAAAGATATCTTTTCCATCTGTAGTGAATTTTCATGGGCTCTTTGCACTCCGTTGTTTTTTCTGCAGATGAATTTTTTTCCATAAATTTTCAGATGTTTTTCAGCTTATGATAGACACTTTCTGTTCTAAGCAGTTTTTGATGAAAATACTCTTATATGTTGAGAGTGAGAACAGGAGTCAAACAAATCTCTCATTGTGGGTAGTGGGAAGTTGCAGTTRCCTCAGTTAACTTAGGGGCACTGCAAGTATTGTCTTGTGAATGAAAAGATCTTTTACTAATAAGTCTGATCTTCTTAACAAATCTGAAGAGATTCTAATCCCTTATGGACAAGAATGTAATGGGAAAGCAGGGAAAAAAAATCCTGAATTATGTATTACGTGTAACAGAATCACATGAGTAAAAGCACATGGTTATGAACATGTAGAAATAAAACCACCCTTGTTTTGCTTCCTCTAAAGAAGCTTAACTTACATTACGCCTTGTTTCAAAATGACTATACATGCACTTAATTTAGTTGCTTCAATGAAAACACTTACACTTCCATGTCTCTGCAGTTTTTAGTGATCATTCCTCGATGTCCCTTTGCTCAGTCGTGTACCAAGTGACATCCCAGCAGCAGGCTCATGAGAGACGTGACAGAGCTGCCACTGTAGTTTCAGTTTCTGAATCTGGTTCAAATCTAGTATGTAGCCCACARTGGTATAAGACACTGATTAATACTGAGGAGGGTAAGTCCTATTTTCCCATCTCTGCTTGAGTTTATAACAATTGAGGTTTATATACAGCTAGGTTGGCATTTCTTTGTCTAGTGCAAAGACAGGTGGGTGTAACCAGCCAGGTGTAATTTTTTGGCCATCTTGCATAATCTATAGTCTTATGTGCTATTTGATTACACTTTGTATCCTGTATAAAAAGCTGTTGGGACATAACCTTGTGGCATATGTACAGCAACCGTGTACCAAGTCTTCAGAAAATTGTCTCAAGCCACTGTGTTCAAGGGAAAAGGGAGCCARAGAAATAAAATGCGAAGCTGGGTTTACTGTGCACGTTAGACACATCATTCAGTTCGCCACTCTAACCTTAGGTGTTCTTCTGTCAACAATGTGTGGCATCACCACAATTCTGAAGGCTGCTGTCTTCACRCAGTGACCTGAGATCAGAGGCCTTTATTCTCTTATGTTTTCTGCAGAGACTGAATAACTTAGAAATCTGTGGTAAAAACAGCTGCCCAAGATATTACATAGTCCTTTAAAACTTGATATAGAAGGAAAAGAAAGGGGAGGGGTTGGGGAAGAAAACATCTTGGGACTAACTGGCCATGAAGGTATGTGATTCATCTTCAGCCTCCAGTCCTACAGTAAATGCCCCCCAGCACTTTCTCCTCGGCCAGGTCAGACCACAAAACACCCTGACCCCATAAAAGAAAAATTGGAACTAATCCATTGAAATGTGCCACAGCCAGTGTGAAATGCATCACACCAGACCCATATCTCTATAATTCACTTAAAAGGTGCAATCTACTAGATGCACTTGCTYACATGTCTCATTTACCATATCTGCTAGTCTACAAATGGTAAGAGCTTGCAGAAATTAGCAATCATTGGAGAAAAGTGCCTTAACATTGCAAAGCTGGTCACAAGCAAAGAAGTAGCACTGGAGGGAAGTCTCATTTCAGCCCCTTTTGTCTGACTATTTCAAAACATCTAGTAATGTAACAGCATCCCATTCTTTCTAAGGGATGCTCTGCCTCTTCCCAGGGACAGGCTGCTGGGGCTCCTTTGGAAGGATATTATGTGCCTAAAATTATTGGAGGGGATGTCCTCCAATTACTACAATTTGGTATTTGTCGGGGTACAAACTTAGGAAGAGTTTGCCACTTGAGTATTTCTGGGTATAGTTTGCTGGCGCACATGCACAATTAACTGCAGGATTGTCCAGGGTGAGAGATTTTTGTTATCAAAAGCCCGACACAGAATTGTGCCAATATGTAGATACGTATTGATATGCTGATGTGTTGATATTCCTGGCTCATGGTTGCACTCATTTTGATGTAGTTGGTCAGTGGCTTATTGCAGCTGTCATGTGACAGAGGTTAGGGAAGGAATGGGACTATCTCGAGTTAACCACAGATATTTGCACTCTCACTTATCTGGATGCAGAACCCAGCCCTGGGGCCTCTCCCTRCTGGGCGCTGCTCACTTGCCCTGAGGCTACAGCACCTAAAATCAGGTAGCAAGGCAGCAGTGGAGGGAACACCTGGGGCTGGCTGTGCCAATGGTTGGGCGGTGCTGGGAGGGGATAGTATTATTTGCAGTGAAAGGATAATCTCCTACATGGACATAAACCAATCTCTAATGTGCAGAGGGTATTTTGGAATGTAGTCAAGGCCGTGGATCTCTGGCTAAGACACTGCTGAAATGCTTGTGRTGTGCTGGTTTTTTGTCTTTGAAAGCATCCTGTGAAATACACTCTAGTTGAATCTGACTTTCTTGTAGCATAAAACACTGGAAATTACGAGTGTAAGTCTGCCAATTTACAGGGCATTTTAAAAGAAAGGTGTGGGGAATAAAGGCAAATATCGCTACAGTGATTTTGAAGCCAGAATGATCTGAGGATACAAGCAAGGCTATGCTTTATTGGACCACTTCCCATGACTAGAAGAAAAAGGCAATATTTAAAATGCTTTTCTTTTCTTTAGGTCTAAATGGAAGTATTTTACACAGTTTTTGTATAATTCGTGTGGGTATACTGACTCTAGACAATAATTTTTACAATTGAAGGTGTGTTTTGTGCTTCTGGTGCAAAAGAGTATAAGCAATGAGGCAGTGTTAAGTTCACTATTCCTGTGAGACAAAGGTAGAAAAGGGTGGTTGTTATAATTAAAACACTATTGTTGTGATTCACAGACCATCTGAGAGCCATGCAGGATCATTTACCAGCAAACCCCATGCCAACAATCCTTACAAAAATTGAACTTAACGGAAGGTTTGCATTTRCGTCAGATCCCAGCCAGGGCAGTGGGTAGGGGAGAGGAAATTCACTGGTAAATAGAAAAGGAACTGAGAAAAATTGGCAGGGAAAGAAACGTTATTTTTCAGCCCACAATAGGATATGACAAACAATGGATGTAACTTACAGTTATTTATAGAAAAGGTCCTTTTGGAGCAGTGACCTTCTCGCCTAACTTCTGTAGACGATGGAAGTTCATCCCTTCAGGGGGAAAGGGCAAGCAGAGAATATTTTAGATTTAATGCTTCATTCCTCCCCTGCCTAGGCTATGGGAACCTGAGCCCTAGTACTGCGGTTGGTCGAATCTTCTGCATCATCTTTGCACTTTTTGGGATCCCGTTGAACCTTGTACTCCTGAATGAAATTGGGCAGCTGATGCTGCTCGGGGTTCAGCATTGTGCCCATCGCCTCGAGGAGGTGTTTCACTGGCAGGTAAGCRGTATGGACAGGTATGTCTCAAGGAAAGAGAAGACAAAGGACTTTGGTATTTGAGATGCTGTGACTAACAAGGCGGCCTGGCTGACTATTTGACCAAAAAAGCAATAATACTCAGGAATAACTGGAARCAGATAAATTTAGTTTATGACAGCCCTATGAGTTGTCAGATAACGTTGTTTATTAATTGAGGGAAATTCTGTGATGAATGACTTCCCCTACAGCAACAGAAGTGATAAAGCATGTGAGCYATGCACAGTCCTGGGCTATCTGGTCTGTTTATCATCAGTTATAGCTAAAATTGCATGTGTAAGCTACATGGGAACATTTGTTCCCATTTGTGGAATAGCCTTTAAACTGGCATGAATTTGGGCCTTAGAAAGGCAATGCCCAATTTGACTGGATGTCAAAATTTAACCCCAGCTGACATCTAAGCTACTCACTCCTTCCCAGTGGGATGGAAAAGAGAATCAGAAGAGTAAAAAATTCATGGGTTGAGGTAAAGATAGTTTAATAAGCGCAAAAGTTCACGCGAGCAAAACAGAAGAAGGAATCTGTTCACCATTTCCTGTCAGCAGGCAGGTGTTCAGCCATTCCCAGGAAAGCAGGGCTCCATCATGCATAATAACACTTACTTGGGAAGACCAATGCCATCACTCTGAAAATCCCCTTCTTCCTCAGCTGTACCTGCAGAGCATGATGCTRTATGGTATGGRATATCCCTTTGGTCACTTGAGCTGTCCTGGCTGCGTCCCCTCCCAAACTGCTGTGTACCCTCAGSCTACTSACTGGTGGGATGGGATGGGAAGCAGAAAAGGCCTTGACACTGTGTAGGCACTGCTCAGCAACAATAAACATCTCTATATTATAAGCACTGTTTTCAGCATAAATTTAAAGCACAACCTCATACTAACTACTGTGAAGAAAATAACCATCCCAGCTAAAACCAGCACATATATGGGACAGACACACCATTTATTACAGTGGAATGCAACAAATGTTCATAGTTTTTTGTGGAGTCCGTCATCATCTTCAACTGGAAACCCAGCTGGACTTTCCTTGCCATCCTTCTTGTGACAATTTTTTTTCTTTCCCCTCCTGTTTTACTAGAATAAAGCTTCGTTCCTGATGAAGACCTGTGCACTGGTAACTGGCTTGTTATTGTTCCTCCTGCTGCCTCCCTTGTTATTCTCAGACAAAGAAGGCTGGTCTTATGAAGAAGGCTTCTACTATTCCTTCATCACCCTCAGCACGATAGGGTTTGGAGACTATGTGATTGGTGAGTAATTCCAGCATTGAATTGGTCTGTCCYTTGAGTGGCAACACCCTCGGGCAGGGGCACCATGGATAAATCACAGTAGCTGCTGAGGGCACACTTGCCATACTCCAGGACATGGGCAGCAGTTAGTTTTAAGCAAATCTGCACCAGCTCTGACAGACAGGGACTGTTTCTTCTGTCAAAACCCTAGGTAACTACTTTCTAAAAGGCAGCTTAAGTCACTTAGGTGTAGACTGTCGGCACCAGGCACTACCTAGTTTTGGATGCCAAAACCCTTTGCCAGAGGAAATGGAATTGGATCCACACCCATTGCATTTGCTGAAACGCAGGGCACACCTTTTTGATAAAGACTTTCTCATTAAAAACAAATTGATTATAGAAACACATGAACCCATGAACCCTTGAATTCCTGAGAGACAGAAAGACTAAAACATCCTAATATGGATTCTCTATTTTCTTCATAGTCCTTGCTTGATGCTTAGACAACTTAGTGGCAGTTACTTTAGGACTTGTTTATAACACTTCAAAGTTACGATTAGAGCTTGTGTAGGCATGGTAAATAAGCTGGAATAAARTTAGCTTGGGTAGGAGTAGTCAGATGGAGCTTAACAAAAGCTGTGTCAGCTCAACATTTTCCTATACTGATTTTACAGATGATGCTGAACTCTGTGCTGCATCAGCTTTACTTCTCTCAGTTTCTGGTACTACATTTGGCATTCCTCCCTCTTCCACATGTGCCTTCACCTGTGTATTACCTTTGTAACTGCTAAACTGCCACAGATACACTATGGTTTGGTATGGTAATAATTGAGTATGTGAGTTGTGGTATGCAGGTTAACAAATTTGGCCATACAATCCTGTATGTGTGGTTTATGTCTCAAAAATAAGGTTCAAGTGACCATCACGCTATTTCTCCACTAGTGTGAAATAGAACTGGGAGGGCTAACAGATCTGCTGGAAAGCAGCTCTGCCAAAAAGGACCTGGCAATCCTGATGGACACCAGGATGTCAATCCTGCAGAGTGCCTTTGTGGCCAAGAAGGCCAGTGATCATTTCAAACTGTCTTCCAAGGTTTGGTTGTTCTTGGAGGTTTTAGGACTACTCAGGCCTCTTTTCCCCCTCTCTCAGAGACACTCTTACTTGTTTATATCTGGTTTAACAAGATACATAAAATCTGCTTCCCTCTCTGCCTGCAGGGACCCTGTTATATGCTAATACAATATTGTGGTGCTGAGTGATAAYTGGAAGAAATTAAGCTGTGTGAATGTGAATAATTTCCCTTTGACATGGATGTAATTTGGGATTTAWTTTTCTTTCTTATGGGTAATCTTTGCAACACTAAGGAGTGCTAGGCTGCTGTTGACATGTTGCAAAACATTCTTAAAACATCTGTTCACATGCTAAGTAGATGTCATACTTGTGTTTTATATGGAAATCACTAATATTAAGTGATGTTTCAACTTGTCTTTGCTTTACGTGTAACGTCTCCTTTGAGGCACTCTTGATGCAATCTAGAAATGTTTTGGGTGATTCTGTTGTAGGGATGAACCCAGATCGCACCTATCCAGGCTGGTACAAGAATGTAATCTCCCTGTGGATCCTCTTTGGGATGGCCTGGCTGGCGCTGGTTATCAAATTTTGCATCCACCTTCTAGAGAGCTCCAGTGACTTCTGTCAATGCAACAAGAAGAGCACAGAGATGGCAGAAGACTTAATGGATGGTAACAAAAATAATATGAATGGACTTCACAACGTGGAGATCTGCAGTGACAAAGACACAAAAACAAAAGGACCGGTTGAGTCTCACACCTACACAGCTCCTGCAGAAACCCTCAAGGGAAGAAAAATACCCTCGGTGTCCTGTAGGTTTTAGWGCACCAGAGACAAACCATTTAGAAATGTGTGAGTGGAGCTGCCTGGACCTGTGAATGGGGTGAAAGTTTGCTTTTTGATCTTGAAATGCTTCTGTTCTGAATTGAGCAATGACAACAGAATGTTTCATTTGCAGCATCACCAAGAATTACCAACAGGACTCTTAGCCAAAAGTAGATTTATGGAAATGTTACCTGCCTCCCACCTCTGTATATGAGGTAAACTTTGACATCCATAAACAACACTTGCTGTTGTCCTTTTTTTTTTTTTTTTGCATGCAAGATTCTTCGTACAACATAGTTGTATGTATGGCACTTTGCAAATGCCACAGCCAGGAAAGCAAGTGCCATTTAATGCAGAAAACAARCAGCMTGTTGCCAAAAGAAATRAAAATAAAWGAAAAGCASTGTTTRAAGCTATCTRATCTGGCAGTCATGGCAAATGTGTGTACCTATTACCTATATACTCGTGCTTGTGAAAGCTTGTAACGAGCTTTTGCTCTCTGATCATTAGCACAGGAATGGCAGTGAGGCAGAGCTTGTCGAGGTGCCTGATAGAAACAGATCATTCCCTTTTTTTCAAAGTAATTTCTGTGTCAGAGGTTTGCTGTTAGAAASAGACTAGGTGGGCTGTTCATTACTGCAGAACTTGTGTGGGTTCATCCTTTTAAAAGTATTTTTTAGACCAAATGTCATCAGCTAAATGTGACAGTTCATTTAGATTTGTATTTTGCCACATYTTGGAAGTCAGAAAAGGAGGACTAGAGGGAATTTTAAGTGTCAGTAGTTCCAACATTTTCGTATGGCCAATATTAACAAAAACTACATGAATCTAGAAACAGACTGAATTTTCTTCAACAATGATCAAGAGATCTATTTTGCTGAACTTCTCATGTCATAAATGATTAGTATACCTGTTCTATCTAACATATATATAATCATAACTGTCTTTGATTTGTGAATGCCAGACATGCTTATTTGGCCTTCATGTCAATCATGAAGCAGAACTGGGGGTTTTCTTTTAGTTMATTCAATTCTTAAAATCTTTTGATATATTATGCCATTTATAAAGGCGCAACAAAGTCTAGTTCCTGCTGCCATTTGTATTCCGATATCTATTATTCTCATTTTCTTATTCCTGTTGTGCTACTTGCATCCTAAGCATTAACTTTGAAAATTTGACYGGAGCAGCAAACCAGAATGAAGCATTGGGCTGAGCCTTCAGCTTTKGCAATGAACCAAGATTCCATGTGGTTGATAGAGAAAAAGCTGAAARCACAGTATGTCGGAATATGGGACTGAGGAATTAGAAATATCCATATATATTCACAGAACAATGTTCAGGAACACGAGTTCTGAAACATATATTGTGAAAAAAAAGTTTCCAGAATAGGCCTGAGTTTTAGTATCTGGTGGAACTGATTACAGGAGAAAATGCAGGAAAGGAATCAGCTGAATGAATTTAGTCTGTTGACATTTTCCTGATTGCACAGTAGTAAATGTTCTCTTAAATACTGTATGAAGGGGTAGCAAGTATCAGGAAATGAGGCAGTGGACCTTTCAGATCATACTGATGCAAAATAAATAGATATAAAATTTTTGTACATTGGTTCATTTCTTTAGCCTTTAGCACAAACTCTTCAGTTTCTTCTCTATTTCATTTTGCTTTTTTCACTGATGGATACACAATGTAGGTTTTACTGGCCTAAGTGAAGAACAAAGTGTATTTCTTTAAATATAAGTAAATTACAATCCCRCTTCATAGAATGTGATACCCTTTAATGCATATCCTTTGCACCCTCTTTTACGTGCAAAACTTAATAAGCATGTTGTAAAATCTGGATGCCCAGAAGATAGTAGGAATTTCTACTGTCAAAGCACAGGAATGAATATGCTAAATCTATTTCAACTTTTACTTGAAATGTCACAGACTCTGGGAAATTCTACCAACTCTGCTCTATGATGAGAAGACTTCTACTGAGAAGAGCTGCTTCTTTTGRATTTGAATGTCTGTTATATTAATCTCATTTAATTCATATTCCCATGTATTTTTTGATTGTGGATGGAGTCTTCAAAAGTACCTTAGAAGTTTAGGCACCCTGGTCCCACTCAGAAGAGCAAACAGCACTGCATGTCTTTGGGCAGCTAATACATTTCTGAGTGGTAAAAGGAAGAGAAACTAGTGGAATAGTCTTGGGAAAAAAAGGATAAAAACCCTTTGCAGRTCTTGGTGCTTCCTTCCACTGTATGTCAGGGTTCAGCCGCAGACTGAAGGATCTGTCTGGGTCTCAAGATGCCTCATTATCTGCCCCACGAGTCCTTTCTGAGTCACTTCCTTTTGCAGCCTGTGTGCCCAGCAGYTCACCACCACCACAGTCCTGCTGCCCACAGTCTGATATCCCATATTTTGTGGGAGACACATCAGARCTGCTGTCAAGCCTCACATACCTCCAGGGCTGCAAGTGCTTGCTTGGATCACAGATCACATAAAAATTTTGCGAATAAATGAGTCAAATATCATCTCTGCCTGRGCTCTCTGACACTGAATTAGCATGTTGTCTCTTATGAATATCTGTTTTTTGACTATTCCTCTCAGCTAGCTTCTGATRTGGACAATAGCTATTACTATATCTGAGTGCCCATAAAGAGCTGTGCCTCTGGTGTTCCTGTTCTTTATAAAKCTGTGTTGTGGTTAAGTGATAGGAATGAATTTGTTCCCACAGGGATGAGAAGAAAGTGGAGTTTTGCAACATCACAAAAAGATCATCATCAATGTGTCTACTATACCAAAATATTGAAAGTTATTTTCTCAAGGGTAAAATAAAGAAAACAAAAGCATGGTCCTGTTATTATTCTTGCCACAGCTGACTTGCAGTCTTCTACAGTCTGCATTGGAAAATTACAGATGCTCCTTGATTTTAATTTTTTTGGTCTCTTTCTGTTCAGATAAGTATGCAGTTTTCATTARTAATTTCAAATTAGACTTTCACTGCTATTGTTCTTCACAAGCCAATTTTCCTTATTATCCTGTTTTCTTCCTTGGGAGGAGCAGAGGTTGGAAACAGGTTTGGTTAGTAGTGGTAGCAATAAATATTTATGTAACTTCAATCTCCAGAGGCTTTTTCACAATCACATAGAGCATTATGTGCTTCTGACCTTTATACAGTTTCCCAGGAAATCAATCCCTTGAAGCAAGAAAATAGAGGGGCCTATCTCCCCTACTTCAAGGACAAGTCCTGGCTTCAGCCTCAGTGTTTCTTCTGCTGGCTCCAAAGGAGATGTTTACCCCTTGGGGAGAGATGTGTCCAGAAGTACATAACAGGATGTTACAGCAACACAGGACAGACTGCTCAGAACTGCACAGTTTTTGTTGAGTTGCCTACAGTATTTTGAGGTCCCTAGGCTCGAACAAGAAGGCTCTTTTCCCTTGATGGTCTATGGCTTCAACCAAACCCCAGGATGTAATTTTTCTTACAGCGCATGGCTGATGAGATCTTGTATTACAGCTGATATTCCAGTTCAGTTTAGCACTGAAAATTGCTAGCCTAGAGAGGGCTCAGGGGGGATGTCATTGATGTATTTAAATATCTGCAGGGAAAGTGTGATGAGGATGGAGCAAGGTATTTTTTAGTGGTGATATCAAAAGAGGCAATGGGCACAAACTGAAACGCAAGGAGACACTTTTTTTTGCTATGAGGATGACCTGGTAGATACTCCCTGGAGAGGTGGTATAATCTCCATCCTTGGAGATCTTCAAAAGCCATCTCTAGGTAGTTCTATTTGAGCAGGGGAGTTTGACCAGATGATGTCCAGAGATCCCTCCCAACCACAACCATTCATGATTATGCATTTCAAGTTCAAACCATCCTTCTCCTCCTCACAGCCATTGTACACAGCCTTCCACTCTTTCCAGACTATCTCCATTAACATCYGGGCTGCACTGTCAGCAGGTCTGGTAGACCTTCCTCCAATTTGTAGATGCTAATCATTTTTTATCTCACAATGAGAGATGCTCTTTATAAGAAGAAGGATACAGAGCAAGTACAATTATTGGGGGGGAGGGAGGTTGTCTCATCCATGTGCTAGATACATTGTGCCATTCCAAAAATGTGCAATACTATTCAACTTTTCAGGTTGGTATAGSCTCCTCCTGTCAATGTTATCTATCTGCCTACAAGTTCCAGAAGAAGGATTCAGTGCATCATCTCTGACACACTTCAGGTAAGGCAAACCTGATTTTGGTTTACACTTTCTAAAGTAGAGACTTACGTTGGCACAGGTAGCAACTTACAGTTGAATCAGGAAAAAATTTTGATGTATTTAGATCTTATAAATAAGTCTGCCATCCAAGTAAAGAAATATTCTGGCTGATGGAAAAGGTGGATGCAATAAACAAATGGTCTTTTTCAGTACTGCTATATCATGGCCTAGGAAACCATGTGCTTGATGGTGTCTCCCTTTCCAGTGGTCCTGGCTGTGGGTGAGGTAGCATCAGGGCAGATAATTTTTGTGATTGCCTCTGAGCCCTNACATGAAAATGGAACTCTCCTTCCCAGATACCAGTCTCAAGCACTTTTATTTTTTTTTGTCAAGTCATAACACTGGCTTTACACCTAACATTTGGACCTAGTACAGATGAGGGCACTTCATTATGATTCTGAGTGGGGTCCACCTGTTTGGATTTTTTTTTTATTTTTTTTTTTTTTATTTGTTTTCTTTTTTTTTTTTTTTTTTTTTTTTTTTTTTTTTTTTTTTTTCTTTTTTTTTTTTTTTTTTTTTTTTTTTTTTTTTTTAATAACTATGTATGTGGAAACTTCAATGAAACTGCAGTTGAGTCTGAACATCTGGGCAGCCAGATGCTGGATGGTCCTGGGCAAAGATTCAATGGTTTCTCAGAAAGACAGGTGATAACAATGGCACAATATCTATGCCCTGAAAAATCTTCATTTCTCAGCTCTGAGATTTAAGAATATGTTTAGGGTAGGGGTTTTTTTTTAGAAATAAACTGGTAAATGTTTAAACTAATACTAAACAGGTAGAGAGGATCTCTGATACTTCTTAAGTCAGTGTGTGTTGCAGTAAGAGTCACTGATAAGCTGTCACTGTTGGAGGAGACAGCAGCAATGTGGATTATCATATTTTTAAGCTGTCCATGTTAATATAGGTGAAKATATGGTCTTCAGAACTTCTATTTCCTTTCAAATTTTGTGCTAAAGTACCTTTATTTTTAAGGGAA